TGCAATCCCGGCACGTTGGGAGGCCGAGGCGGGAGGATTGCTTGAGCCCAGGAAGAGTTCGAGGCCAGCCTGGGCAACGCAGCGAGGTCCAGTCTCTGCCAAAAACAAAGTGGTTGTTGTTGTTGTTTTTCTTCTCATCAAAAAAATGAGGCAGGCGTGGTCTGCCCCTGTAGCCCCAGCTACTCTGGAGGCTGAGGAAGGAGGATCGCCTGAGCCCGGAGGTCAGGACTGCGGTGAGCCGTCTCATGCCGCTGCACTCCAGCCTGGGGGACAGAGCGAGACCCCGACTAAAAATAGAAAGAAAAGAAAGAAACAAAAGAAAACTCACACCCTATGCCAAGCTTGACTTTGTTGGGGAGTGGACGAGGTGGGGGAGTATTCGGTTTGTTTTTTTATTTTTTGCAAAAGATGTTCAGCATAATTATATCTTTTAGACTTAAGCGACGGACTTAAAACGTGGAAACTGCAGAATCCCTTCACGTTTGCTGTCTTCACACAAGGCAGGCAGGTGCCATCATGCCCGCTTTGTAGATGAAGAAACAAGCCCGGGGTCAAAGTCAAGTGGCTGATGGGTGGCAGGAGAGTCCGGACTCCTAGCAAGTCCGGTCTTCCCGGAGCAGCTCTGCCGTGGCTCCAGCTCACAGGACAAAGCAGAAGGCCCTCCAGACCTGGGGCACTGGGGCGGTGCTGGGTCTTGGTCTGCATGGTGGTGGTTTCCTCTGCCTTCTTCCTCCCGTTCTTCTGCTCCATGGTTCCCTTTTCTGGCCTCTTCTCCCTGCTGTTTGCTTTACATTAGTCCTCTCTTCCTTGCCCTGGACCCGGAGGTGAAAGTGGCCTTTGGCTGCATGACCTACATTTCCCTTAGAGATGTTCAAGGGATTTTATGGTGACCATTGAGATCTGCCTTCCTTCTTCCTATGTTCCTTCTACCAAATCTCAGATTGAGACACCTTCAAAATAAACCTAGAAAAAAATAAGTGAAATATTCTGATATGGACTGTTATTTAATGGTGGTATGAACTTTAAAGCATAACAGAGCGAGATAGGCAAGTTTAAAAAGACTAATAAAGATAAGAAGATTGACTAGGTCCTCCTCAGGACTTTGTCGTGTTTAAAGACAGACTCAAAGCACGTTATGCTGAGTGCCTGAGTCGGAGGGCCTGGCCCCAGGCCTGGCTGTGTCATACCTTCTGCGAGGCCCTACGGGTATTAGGAGTTTTGCGGTACCTGTCTACACAGTCCATCAGAATGAGAAGCCCTTGAACTCTAGCCCTCTGGTCCCCCTCTTTTCACTGCTTGGTCCTTCCTTGTCTAGATTGGTATGTGTGGGTAGGTACTCTGGTTTTTACAGCAAAAGCACTTTATTTTGATTTACTGTTCCATTAGGTTATTGTGTTATCTCTTTTATTCCACTTATTTATTTGTTTAGGTTTGGAAAGTAAAAATTAGACATTTTTCCCCCCAGCAGATCCCAAATAGTTTGTCATTTCATCTCTGCATGCTTTAGTTTGCGCCCTAAACTATCCCATGATAGTTTTGCTTGGATCAAGACCCATAGTTTACACTTTGCATTTGTTTCTTCTGCCTCTTAAGTCTCTTTTAAGCTGCATGGGTCCCACTACTTCACTACGACCTTGGTTTTTCTCTCTTCTTGCCATTGGCTTATTCAAAAACAAGATTGGCTTTCTCACACACTAAGTCTGTTTTTCTGTATACCGGAATAAGCAACAATTTCTACGTGAATCTTGTTCATCTGCCTTCATTTTTCATCTTCTAGAGCAGTACTCTCCAAGAGAACTATAACATATGCCACAAGGGCAAGCCACATACGTGATTATAAGTTTTCCAGTAGCCACGTTAGGCACATAAGAAACAGGTGGAATTTTAATGATTTAATTTGTTTAATATAACCAGAAGAGTATAATTTTCAATGTCATCAACATCAATGAGATATTTCACATTCTTCTTTCTGGCAGAGTCTTCCAAAGCTGGTGTGAACCCTGCCCACACAGCACTTCTCAGGGTGGGCCAGTCACATTTCAAATACTCTGTATTCGCATGTGGCTGGTGGCCACTGGGCTGGGCGGGCAGGTCTAGATACAGAGCTCCTTGCTTAAGCTGGCACACCAGGTCCCAGCAGGATCCTTCCCTGGCCAGCCTCGCTCGTCGCCTTCATACATGAAACATTTGAACGATGGAACTTTCCATGGTTCTTCATCCGTAATTTCGTTCAGATCATTCCCCTTACTTGTAACACCCTGTCTCTTTTCTTCCTCCTGTCAGCTCTATCCTCCTTCAACGCCTGTCTCCTCCACCAGGCTTTGATGATGCCCCTGTGCTTTGAAGTCACTCCCTCCTCTCAGCTGTCATCGCGGTCCTGTGCTTCCCCGTCATTTGCGCTCATTCTGTGTCTGCTGTGTTGCTTTCTTGAGACTCTGAAACCCCAGCTGGGTGGCCGGCTTTCTGAGGGCAGGAACACCTCCCATCAGGGAAACAAGAACACACTACCTTGCCTCGTCCTCTGGAGTTCTATAATGATACGTACAGATAATGGGTTCATTTCTCATGATCTTATTTTCAGAAGACAACTTGTTCATTTCTCATGAAACGAATATAGCAAAATGTAAACTGTGTTAGCACAGCAGTTAAAAACTTGCACTCCAGAGTCAGCATGCATATCTTCTGTCCAGGCTCTCCCTTTCCCTGGCTGCGTGAACTTGTTTAAGTTAATTAATCTCTGTGCTTGGGTTTCTTCTTCTGTAAAGTGGGAATAATAAAGTATCTCCCTTATAGATCGGTCATGAGAATTAAATGAGATGATTGTGCCCTAAAGTAGCAAGTACTCAGTAAAGCTTAGCTATTGCTGTTATTACTAATAGTGAAATATTTGTTGCTCTGTTTGATGTATTAGAATATTAAATATTCACAATAGGATTTTAGGAATTTCCAAATGGAACAAATGAAAGCCACAATGTATTAAACTGGAAAAATAAAGTCACACCCAAATATTTGTTGAACTATGCATTTAGTTTGACTGCAGGATATTTGTGTCATCAACATTTAACATAAGCAAGGTAGGCACACATTAAACGTCTGATTTCAAGATGACTGATCAAGTAATTAGGTATAGGCATGGCATAGGCAGAGCATAGACATAGGCATAGACAGATATTTCAGGGGTTTCAGACTTTTGGTCATGGGGATGGCAAAAAAATTATACTGTTTTTCAATCTGTCACATTGACTGCCCACAAACTAATGTCCACAAGACATTAACTGATTCTTAAACTGATGCATATTAGTAAATTGTGCTTCTCATTGATTGATAGATAATACTTGCATTATCCACATTGTACTTCTGCTAATTATTTCCTATTCTAGGATTGTATTTACTAGGCTCTTTTGAGTAGTTTCATCACCAACTTTTCTTTAATTTCCTTGGTCTTTATTTCTACATTTTAGGATCCTCATATCAAGGAACTAAGCCATATTTACCTTTAAGTACCACAGGATATTATGGCTATGTTCTGAAATTAGAGAATTGCTTCTAGAACAACTTAGAATGTACTGGGAAGATGGAAAAACCACCAAAAATTATTTGGTGATTAGTTTTTGTTTTTGTTTTTAAAGGATATAGTATATATATAGCCTTTCTTTACTCGTTTACTTAATTAACAAATATTTGCTGAGTCCTTCTTGGTGAGTGTTTCTTGGTGTTCCACAGTCCTTTAGTTATGAAGACTCAAGACGGAGTTGGCGGTAGCCCTCTCAAAAGGGCAGATGGACATTTAAACAAGCAACTGAAGTAACTGCAGGGAGGGCAGTACCAGAGAAGACAGCAGATGCTGTGGCATGAATGACTTGTAGGTACCCCAATATGGAGAATGGTTGACTTGAATGACTGCAGTCCTTGAATCAAAATGAAGCAAATCCAGAAAATGTATGGAAGTGTTACATTTTAAATGGTACTTTGAAGGAAGGGCGAGACGGATGTCTAGAATGACAGAAACTTTCTTTTTTGGCAGGTTAGCGTAAAGCTGTAAACAGTATTAAGATTCAGTTCTCATGAACACTCCTACCTTGTCTTCTAGAAACGGGTTTCGTATTGCATGTTTCCTTTTGTTGCTGTTCTTAGTCTGTTCTCTCCTTTGTGATTTCAGAGGAGTCACCATCAATGCACACTGAGTTTGTACCAGGCAGTGCACTAAGCAGGAGAGAGACTAGGTAAGTACTTTTTTTGCAGACACCATGCTCATTGCTGTGTTTTCTTTGTTTGTTTGTTTAACTTCAATTGTGTCAGTTCTTTCACGCTTCTTTCAAACCTCTTGGAGGTCTTCACCTTACTGGGATTTATGATCCTGTTTTCCTCTCTTTCACATCAGATGTTTTAATCCATAAGCCTATGAAAGATACTGAATATTCCATTTCCTGTTTCTTATGAATAGTCATAATAAATACCAACTTGTTAT